CATCACTCCATGGAATTTGGGGTTACCTCTTCCAGCAGAACATGACAACCCGGATCCACTTGCACTGCCAAGGCAAATCCCATCCCACCGTGCCAGGGATGGGCAACAGCCTTACTGGGGTGGTGGGTTTGAATTCCAGACACGGCTGAGCCATCCCAGTCCCCAGGCTCCAGAGGGTGACAGCCCCGTGGGGACTTTGGAGCTCTCCCTTCTCCCCAAGCGCCTGGATCCCGGAGAGATCCCTGCAGACAAGCAACGCCATCTCGGAGGGCTGGGAGCCAAAGCAGCTGGAAAATGCAGCCGGGTTTTGCAAACTTCAGCGTTTTCTCTGCCAAAAGGGAGCTTGTCCCTGCGCCAGCTCTGCTGCCCGGGCAGGAGGCACCCCATTATTTCTACTTTGCCCTGTAAATCACCCCAACCCCGAATGCAGGTCCCATACAAGCATGCACGGTCCCCACAGAATCTGGGTGCCTCAGGCTCCCCCCACGCCCAGGGAAGTCCCTGGTTGGAACCAGCGACAGAGATGACAGGGGAAACTGAGGTGGGGTGCAGCGAAGCAGATTTGGTGTCCATGCAAGTGGCCAGCTCAGAAACCAGCCCAAAGGACTTGGGGGGGGGGGGGGGGGGGGGGGCGTGTGTGTGTGTCCCCCATAACCCACCTTCTGCCTGACCACGCTGCCAGGGACCACAGAGCACAGTTTACAAGCTGCTGGTGCCCTCTAAAGGGAGAAGAAAAAGGGAAAAAAAGCCCCAGTCACAGCAGGACAGACGCCCTGCTGCAGGACAGGTATCTTCTTTGGAAACTAGAAATGGATTGGGAGGGGGTGGGTCCTTCCATCACCCCAACAACTGGGTCTCCCCCCTCGCTCTGGCCCTGCCCGCGAGATGCTCGGGCTGCAGAACAACAGGACCTGATCATCAAAAGCCCGATGAGCACAGGAAAGCTGCAGAAGCCCTGAGAGAGGCTTTAAGGGTATAAACCTGAGGTGGTTTTCGTTTTCTTCTTGTCCTAAGGAGAGTTGTACAGCTCCCAAGGGCCAAAAATCCCGCCACGTGCTTCATCAGGATTGTGTTATCCCTCAGCTCACCAAGACTGCCAGCCCATCTGCTGCTGCAGCCCCAAAGCCCTGTGCAACGGGGGAAACACCAGAAAACGGGGCTGTTTGCTGGATCTGCCCCACTTGGGAAGAGGGAGGGGAGATGAAGCCACCCTCCTGGGCTGATGGGGAGCAGATACCACGGGTGCAAGAGCTCTGGGGAGGGGGCATGGACTAAACACACCGATAATTCACCCTAATTCTCCAGCTGCAAGAGGGAAGGTCTGTGCAAGGTGACGCTGCAAAAGGGTTTTCACCTTCCCCTACCTTCAACATTTCCTATTAGAGACATCCAGAAACGTGGCAAGGATTGTCTGCGCTGCTGGGCGGGTTCAGGTGCTCACATGCCGAAAATATCTCCATTTCTCTTTGCATTAAAGGGCTACTGAAACAGGGTCACCAGAACTGGCTGTTCAAAATATCTCCTGGAAAGGCCAAGGCGTTCTTGATGCCTTCACGAGAGTGCTGGGGAGGTGGAGGGAGAAGGAGCCAGGAGAGCGACTGGAACAGCTCTTGCCTCCGTTACACTGGACGCAAGAGTTGCCAGCATGGTTTAGAGCTTGGAAACCCCCCCCTTGATGTCCTCGGGAAGGTTTCTTCACCGTGGGATTCCTTTGCATCTGTTTTCATTTGCTTTCCTGGACTTAAACCCTGCAGGGTGTATTCAGGCAACCTCCTTCTCCCTGCCTGCAGGTCAGTCCTGCCAGGCACCGGATCCACATACCACGGCGCAGCACTTGGGGACGGGCTAGGCAATGACAAAGCATGTCCCAGGCTAAAAATAGACCCTGCGTCGGGTATTTGTGGTAAAATCACCTCCTCTGCCAGCTCCCTGCCAGGCAGCCCTTCCTGGGGGGACGTGGTGATGGACGTGGTTTGGTAACCCTTGGGCTCTGTGTCTTCTGCCACCACGGTTCATGGACTGGGGAGAAGAGGGAGAGGTTTCCCCATGATGGGGAGCCACCTTGTAGGGTTTGGTGCTTGGACCGTGCCGTGCATGAATTAAAGACCAGGGGGGGTTTCTCTGTGTGCCGGCGTGGCTGGAAGGATGAGTTCAGCTTGGAAGTCTTGGCCAGATCAAAGAAAATAAAGAGAGTTTTATTTGCAGCACCAGCTTTGATGTGCAGGGGAGCTCCAGGGAGCTTCAAGGACAGGGTTGTGGAGCTCGTCCAGCATCTTCAGGGAGGGGGCTGGTGATGCTGAGGGGCCCAGGCTGGTGGTGAGGAGCTGCAGAGGAGTCTCACAAGAGTGTGAAAAGGCAATCAAAAGGCAAAAAAAGTCCTCACTTGGCATCTAAAATGTTACACTCTGAGTTGGCTGCAGTCCGGAGCCATTAGAGAAGGAGGATTTGGTCTCCTCCACCCCGGCGGGGAGCTGTGAGTTGGGGAGAGCATGTTGGGGTGCTCCATGAACCCCAGCAGCCCCCCCAGAGACAGCTCCTAGGAGGGGGTTGAGGGCCGAGATCCCCACAGCCCCCCCCTGTGTCACGCAGGTGGGTGGGCAGATGCCCCGTCCCCACTCCTGCAGCATCTCTCCGCGTTGCCTAAAGGGATCTGTCTCTCGGGATCGGGTCCTGGACCTGCAAGGGGTGACCCCTGGGAGCTGCTGACCTCCACCCAGCCTGGATCTCCACGCTAAAGCTCTCAAACCTCTTGTTTAATTCAGGGATCCATCGTATCATACAGCACCCAGCCAAGAACCTCCCTGGGACACCTCAGCAGCCACACCAGGCTCACCATGCAAAGCTCTTCCAGGGAGACAAATGAAATTTGGTGGAAATGATGCTATTAATGAATTGTGTCTTATAGTTCAAATAAAGAGCGGTTTCTTGCTGTTTGGCCTTTGCACCACCGACTTTCTTCTTTGTGGCTGCTGCCCTCATCCTCCCCCACCCTGTAAATGCTGCGTGGTTGATCTTGGCCAAGGAACAAGCCCTAAAAAGCATGCACAAGTCTGTCTCACCGTGAATGATGACCTGACAGGAGTTTAAAGTGATTTTAGTAATGCACGAAAATACATGAGGACTTTCCTCGGTGTGTTAAACCCGAGCTTTTGAAGTGCTGCAGTAGTTAGCCCCCATCAGCTTGCCTAACTGGATGAAAAGTGCTGGCTGGGGAGCGATGAGGAGATAAGTTTAAAAGGGTTATTTCACTTCAGATGTCAGCAAGTGGGGGGGAAAAAGTCAATAAAAAGCTACCAAAAAAAAAAATCCCAAAACATCTCTGGGTTTCCAAAATAGCTGCTACAAAGAGCCCCTCGCTGCCGGGGTGCTTTTTTTTGGTTTGTACCAGGCACGGGAGTCAGACAGGAGGCTGGTGAGGGACCAGCTGAGTAGGAACGAGTCCGGGGATGTGGCTGGGGTGGAAGTGGGGCGAGGAGGTGAGGCTGCTCCCGTCCCCCGTAAGGCAGCAGCGCCGGGGCTGAGCTGGACCCCCCTGCCTCTGCCCTCCCTCCCAGCAGCTCCCAGGTGGTGCAGGAGATGGAGTTATGCCTGTAATGGTGCAGAAGAGGGGCCAGGACCCCTTCTGCAGCCCCGTGGGCAAAGGGCCCAGGCTGACACCCTTACAAGGGGGCTCACCGGTAGCCCAGAGGTGCCAGACCCCTCAGGGATGGGTGGTATGCAGGGGCAGAGCCCCCGCCATCACCCTCAGTGCCATGCCGCCCACTTCCAAAATAACAGGAGAAAATAAGGCTTCTCAAATAAATAAAGCAGGGCTAAGGCTGTGTGCTGCCCCTTGCTCACACTGGGACACTGTCCTACCGACCCTGGCATGGCTTAACCCTTCCTAATACACTCTCCAGGGACCATGAGCCCTCCCAAAGGGTGGAGGAATTTAAGCTCCTCTTCCTCCCGGCAAAGCACACCCGCTCCAGACTCACTGTCCTTGTAGCCAGTCATCCTGAGAGCAGTTTTCTTCCAGCAATTTCACTGGTAGCTTCTTGAAACCGCGTCAAATTCTTCTGCGTGCAGCATCTCCTGCGGTGTAGGTTTACCCCGCTGGGTTTGCTCTGTGGTAACCTCCTGTGGTCCTGTTCAGTTCTTCTGAGGGATGAGACAGTGGACAACCGACCCCACCAACCCTCTGCCCTGGCCCCTCCATCCTCTTTTCCAGGCTGATGGGCTCTGCCTTGCATGGCTGTTTCTTTTGTGGATGCCACGTGGACCTCCAGCTGCTCCGATGCCCTTCCCTGAACCCTCTCCTGCTCCAGCATCTCACCCTCTCCCTCTCCACCATCTCCTGGAAGCAGGATGGTCGCCCCCCGCCCAGGCAGCAGGGAAGGCAACCCCCCCTTTAGCTCCCAGTACCGCCTGCTCTGCTTCCTTCTCTTCTCTTAATTATTCCTGCTCTCTGATTTGCTTTTTTGACCCCTGCCAGCCACCCACCCGTTGCAAACCCATCCCTCAGCCTTGTCTTCATCACCCTGCGTGATTTTGTGCTGTCCACAGGCTCATCACCCCATCTGAGGTCACTGGTGACTACGCTGAAGTCCATGTGCTCTTCCCCACCATTTCAAAGCTTCAGAAGTTGTCCCAGAAGAGGTGAGAAGGCTCTGGGTGACTCCTCCACCCCGGACCGGGACAGAGCTGCATTCCCACACCCCGGTGGGCAGGGGCAGAGAGGGGGAATTTTACCTGCCGGGCAGTGACCCCCATCAAACAACGTGAATCCCTTGCCTGTCCCCAATCTCTCTTCAGCTCACTGAGCATCCCGAAGGGCAGGAGGAGCTGCGTGGTGGGCAACTTCCCCCTCTCCTTGCAGGCCAGGGCAAAAGAGCATCCCTGCTGCATGCAGGCAGGTCCCCTTGGCACCCAAAGCCCGAGACAGCAAGAAGCTCCCTCTCCTTTATTTTCCAGTTGCTTTTCTCCCAGCTGGAAAACCAGGTTTCCACCAAGGGCATCGCTTAGGCTCGATACTCGAAAAAGCTGTCTCGGACCTCTCTCTCCTGGGAGGTGACCCTCTTCCCCGAGGGGAAGGTCTGGTAAGTCCGCAGGTTGACGGGTGACGCTCGCAGCAATTGCCGGCAGATGTTGGCGCTGAGCGGTGGGCTGGGGAGGGGCAGAGCAGCAAGGATGGTCACGGAGGTGCAGGCAGGGGTGCAGGCAGGGCTCAGCCGTAGGGGTGTGCTCCGAGGGCACCCACAGCCCCCCCCCCCCGCACTGTTCACCCCCGCAGAGCTGCCAAAGCGGGCGAGTTTGCAGCGCTGGCCCCCCAGGAGAGCGCGTTCAATCTGACTTTGCACTGGGTTGATGCAACCCCTGGCCTCCAGGCCACACGTTTTAATTAACACGCAGAGGCAGCTCTGCCTGTTGGCATTCCCCCGGGGTGGATTCAGTCACACCCGAAGCGCCCTGGGGATGGGGAAGTGTTTGAAGGGATAGAGGGGAAAATACAGATTACTTTCAAGGCCACCACTGCTTGTTCCCCTTTGGGAACATGTTACCTGTCCCTCCAGGAGCTGGTGAAAGTTGAATCATTTCTCTGGGCGTGGGTCAGGGAGCAGCAAGGACCCCAGCAACAAGGAGCCGGGGTGTGTAGCAGCAAATCAGGGTCAGGATCGGGTCTGGAGACACTGACCCGGGGCAGACAGAGCCCAAGGGCCCCTCAATGGTGAGGTGGGTCTGAGGTCAAGCGCAGCCCCAGGTCTAGATTGGAGTGGGGGAGCCTCAAGCCCAGATCCAGCTGTGGCACAGCTGCAAAGGCGAGGGCTGGTGGTACATCTGCAGCTTCACAGCAGGTCCCAAAGGAAAGGAGGTGCTGGCCACCGCCTCCAGCTCTGCTCACAACAGCTCTTATCAGCGCCAGGGCTGACCTTGGCCTCTGCCAGCTAAACTCTGGGAAGGGGGATGAGCCCTTTGCCCCAACAGTGTCTGTTTTACTCCATCCACTTCCAGCTATCCTCCTCATCCCAGACATTTCTCCACCTTGTCGTGGGTGAAGGACATCCTCCTCGACTCCTGTTTGTTTTGGCTGGGCAGCAAAGGGTTGATAAGATCTCAGCCAGCCTAGATAGCCACAGCACACAGCCAGGACAAAGTGCCCCATGCCCATCAATTAATCTCTCATTTTAAGCAGCTTCTCTGAGTTCCACACACAAAATTTTGCAGGTTCCGGGGCTTCCAGGGCTGGCCAACCTCCCAGCACACAGCACCACCATGACTGCCCATCCTGCAGCAAGGAGGGTCCAACCACCTCCTGGGCTGTGCAAGAGTGAGTGGCCAGTGAGGAGGAGGGGGCACCCAGTGCCCCCAGTTGGTGTCTGCAGTGCTGTGACCGGTCTGAGGGTCCCCTGTGCAAGGAAGTCACGGGCATACTGCAGCAAGGGCCACCGAGAGGGGCCGGGGCACATGATGTGGACCCCACTTGGTGTTCTGCAACCAGCTCTGGGGTCCCCAGTGCAGGAAAGACCTGGAGCTGCTCGAGCGGGGCCAGAGGAGGCCACGGAGATGCTGGGGGGGCTGGAGCAGCTCCCCTGGGGGGCCGGGCTGAGAGAGTTGGGGGGTTCAGCCTGGAGAAGAGAAGGCTCCGGGGGGACCCTGAGAGTGGCCTCCCAGGGCTTAAAGGGGGGACAGGGGAGGTGGGGGGGGACTCTGGGTCAGGGGGTGGGGATGGGACGAGGGGGGATGGTTTTGCACTGAAAAAGGGCAGATTTAGGTGAGATCTAAGGCAGAAATTGTTCCCTGTGTGGGGGGTGAGGCGCTGGCCCAGGGTGCCCAGAGCAGCTGTGGGTGCCCCCTCCCTGGAAGGGTTCAAGGCCAGGTTGGACGGGGCTGGGAGCCCCCTGGGCTGGGGGAAGGGGGCCCTGCCCAGGTCAGGGGGGGGCACTGGGGGGGCTTTAAGGTCCCTTCCCACCCAAACCGGTCTGTGAGTCGATGTGCAAAGAGAGGCAGAGAGTTGGGTTGTTCAGCCTCAAGAGGAGAAGGAAAAGGGGGATCTTATTAAAGATTAAAGGGGGATCTTAAAGGGAGATCTCTGCTACCTAAGAGCAGGTAGCAGAGAAGAGAGGATCTAGAGGATGTAGAGATGTAGTAGGCTGAAGAATGCACCTTGAATTTCGAGGTGCAGAGTGATAGGAGTGGCAATGGACACAAGTTTCAACATGGGCAGATCCAGCCAGCTATACGGAAAATATATGAAGATATTTTACCCGAAGCCCCCTGAAGATGGCTGGAGGTTTGGTGTTTTTTTTTTTGTTTTTTTTTTGTTTTTTTTTTTCTGGATTTTACACTCGTGTAGAGCCACAGCAATATAGCACTAGAGGGCACCCACGTATTTCTGCTGGCGTCTGGCTCCGGCTGCCTCCCACCGCAGCTCAGCCCCCGGTCCTGGGCTGGCAGTGCTGCGGGTGCATTTTCAGCCCCTTTTGGGTCGGGTGTAATCACCCCAGGAGGCCAGTGTTGTGCTCAGAGCTCAAGGCAAGAGGGAATTTCGGATGCCAGCTGTAACCCGCCTTAGTTGAGAGCTATAGACTGGCCCTTGGAGGGTTGAGCAGGGCGGTGGGGGCTGTCAGGGCCGTGGGTGTCCATCCGAAAGGGTGGTGGGGCACCGTGCTGGGCTGTGCCTACCTCCAACGTACCCATCGTGCTTGCAGTGCTGGAGAGGAACACCCAGCTACCTAATCCACGTTTTAGCAGTGCTACATCTGCTCCTATCCACCTTTCTGCCCTAGAGATGCTGACAAACTCCCTCCCACGGTCCAGTTTCTGCAGCATCTGCTCGGACACCCCCCCCCCCCCCCCCCCAGGAGGAGAAGCTCCCCGGTGTCTCTCTCAGCGAGGTGTTTGGGGTGTTTGGGGGGGGGTTGCTGCTCAATCCCCCTGTGCATGCCAGCACGGTGCTGGGGGCACAGCTGCCACCACCTTTCAACAAGGAGCTTAAATGGAGCCTTCAACCACCACTTCAGCATCAGTACGTCGCCGCACGCGGGGGGGCTCTGCGGTTTATTCCCCTTGCTGCAGGGCTGCCACGTGCAGACCAGCAGCAAAAAAACCAGCGTGGGGGAGAAGATGGTTTATATCTAACATAACCACAGCGCTCCCCCGCGCTCCTGCTCGGCAGCTCCGCCCGGGGATACGCCGGACGCCCTCGGATGCGCCAGCAAAAGGATTTCATTCGGGGCGACGCCAGATATTTTGGTGCGGCGCCCGTGCTGCTCTGACACCAGTGGCTCGGGGAGGAGATCTGTAAGAGCTCTCAGTGCCCCCGCCGTGGCCGGTGGCGTAGAAGCTGTGAAGCTGGGCCGGCGGGCGTGCTGAGCAGAGCTTCGCAGGATCTAGCGAACCAAACCCTCCCGGGAGAGGCACCGAGGGCTGGATGAGGACCAACACCGACGCGCTGCCCTCCGGGGTGGCTGCTCCGCCTTTCTGAGCCTCTGCTCCATCAGCCAGGGCAGGAGGGATGAGGAATACCCAGAAGCTTCACTCACTGATGTCTCTTTTTCCATGAATGCCTATTTGAGCCATAACAAAAGGGGGTGTGTGTGTGTGTGTGGATTTTTTGCCTTTCAGTTTTTATGACCTCCTCCCCTCTCCAGGACCCCGTATTGAGGAGGTACCTGGTCAGTGGAGGACTGGCCCCACCAGTTGGGAGGAGAGGAGCCCCAGCACTGCCCATGCCCAGCCCAGCCTGGCTATGGGGAGACAGCAGGTAGCTATGGGATGGGTTTGGGGTTCCTGCATAAATTTATGGCCATGGTGACTTGGAGATCTGTTTGTGATGGCTTGGGTGGCCACCAGAGAACCGGGTCTTTGCCCAGATCATATGTTCGGTGGCTAAAGCCATGCCTTTTCCAGTGGCCACTTTGGTATAATGTTCAAGTAAAACAGCTGCAGCCCCCAGGTGTCCTCTGCCACGCTGGTGGTGGGAAAGGTCCCAGGGAGCAGCAGACGCTGTGAGATATCTCACAGCAATGAGGAAGGGAGGAGACAGGACACAGAGACCCCAGGGTGCTGCTCCAGTTTTTGCGAGAGCTTGGAAATAAATAAATAGCCAGGATTTCAAACACATAGCCAGGAGGATGCTCGCTTTAAAAAAACAACCAACCAACCAAACTAACAAACAAACAACCCTGGGATTTCTAAGTTGGGAAAAAAGCCTCGAATCCTGGCATGCTGCCTGCCAATTCTTTCAGGTTAATCTGGTTTCTTCCAAGGATGAAAGGTTTGGGTGAAGAAGAGAAGGAGGATCAGGTGTGGGGCTGACCCTCCCCCAGACCTCTCCAGTTTCATCCCACTAGCCCAAACCCTGGGAATTGGGTGCCACCATGTCCTAGGGACTGTCCAGAGGGACGTCTTCACTCACAGGTCGAGCGGGTGAGGATATCTCTCCTTCTCCTTCGAGGGCAGCACAAAATAAGGAACGAGGTGCCGCGTCCCGCTCTTGTCCCGGTAAAACTCGCGGTGCTGCTGGGTCAGCTGCAGGTAAAAACCAACGTCGAGGCGTTCCGGCTGAGTTCAGTGCTCCACAGGCGTGTTTGCCCCAGGGTTTTGCAGGGGTTACTATCGCAAAGCCCGTGGCAATCACCTGCCCCCTCTAACCGTGCAGAAAAGCCGGTCACAGCCCTGCTCCTAAATTGCCCCGGACTCAGACACACGCGTGACGCCTGGGATTATCCCCCCACCCTCTCCTCCCCTCCCAGGGCTTGTTTCGGTTTTACGAGCACCCAAACACGCCAAATTTGGCTCCTCACCTCATCAAACCTGTTCAGCTCCTGGGATCGGCCGCCGTCCAGGCTGTGCAGGGTGTGCGGGGGGGCGCGGGGGCACGGGTCCTGGCCCGCTGCTTGGCACGCTGTCACGGGCTGGGGACCCTGGGGGTACCTCATGGTGGCGTTCCCACGGGTGTTCCCGAAGGAAAACCCTGGTTTGGGGGATGTAGCTTCAATACCTGCGGGGGGAAATGTGGTCAGCAAGGGCCACGCTGGGGCTTTCGGGGAGCAGAGAGAGCTCCCTCCTCCTCCCCTTCTCTACAAAACACCCGCGGGAGCCAGCACCTGGGTTTAAATAATCCCATTTCAGCAAAAAACCCCACATCTGATGCACAGCACTTCAGCTGAGGATAAACTGCTGCTCAGGGGACCCTGGTGATGGAGGGAAGGGTGGATTCGCGATCCAGGACACGTTCAGTTTTCATTTTTCTTTTTAAGCCCCCTTCCTTGCATTCCAGAGGTGCCCCAGGCAGGGAGCCGCTGCCGGCAGAGCGGGGTTCACCCCATCCCCGGCTGGTCATGCCCCCAAGGGGTGGAAACGGGGGGCAGTCGGTCCCTTTCCTGGCAGAAAATCAGCAGCAAAAAGGAGGATGAGTGAGACCCCTCTATTCCAAGCGCGCAGACCCACAGCATCCAGGAAAGGCCAGCGTGTGTTTTGGCCAGCTGCCTCTCGGTGGCCTCACGCCCCCCAAACCGTGGGGATTCAGGCTGAGGACGTGGCACCAAACTCGACTCATTCCCACTGGGCAGCTCGCGGGGGGCTCAGGGCTAGATGGGGAGGTGCTGCAGAGCATCTCGAGGGACCAGTCCTCCACCCCACCATGCTGCCTCCCACAAAACCACCAGGAGCCTCTCGTAGTCAGGGAACAGCCCCACGGATGCCCCATTTCCAAAACCTGGGGCAGGGAATTCATCAGGACACGGCGCTGGCTGGCCCTGAGAGCAGGGGAGGGCTGCACAGACGCATTTCTACCACTTCATCCGCCCCCCCAAAGACATCATTTGGCTGTTCCCTTAGCTCCCTCCGAGCTGGAAATCCAGTTATCACTAATAATGAGTGGTAAAAAAATAAACCGCATTCACCCCTTCAGCCACCTCAGAGAGCTCACAGAACTCCCCGTGCGCTCCTAAAATGTGGCAATATGTCATTATTGTCCCCCCAGCTTCTCGTGAGCAATCTGCTTTCCTGCAAAGCCCGGCGTGCCAAGACGCTGCCGCATTTCACAGGAGTCAGTGGAAACTGCTTCTTCTCGCCGAGCAAACTCACCCAAGGCGCGTTGGAGTTAATTCTGCTGCAGTCTGAGAGGCTCTGCTTATAACCTGACACCAGCGTTTCAGCTGCCGCAGGAGACCTTGGCCCTGAGCGCAGAGCTGTATCAGTCTGCAAAAGCCGGGAGAAGAAAAGGAATGATCTAAAGGAAAAAGGAGGAAACGCAACCCTTTCGCCTTGCTGCCAGGGCAGAGGAAACAGAGCTGCTGAAGGCAGGAGATAATTGAAGGCGAAAATCAATGACAAACTACTTAGTGCCTCCCCTGGTCAATGAGACCCTGGGGCTTGCCGAGTCCTGTGCCTTGTGCCCCCCCTCCCCAGGGAGGCTGCAGAGGTTGTTTTTGAAGTTCATGTGGATAAAACCACCGCGCTGCTGCCTGTCCCTGGGGGGACTGGGCTTGGTGGCCCCAGCAGCTCCCCGTGCTGAGCCCAGTCCCTGCCCGGTCCCGCTGCAGGGGCAGCGCTAACGCCCAGCAGACACCCCAGGTAGGAGCACAGGTTCATTTGTCTGCCAGACAGCAAGATCCCAATTAACATTCCGGGACAAATACAGCAACAAAACCCCCCAGCTTTCCCAGGAATGTCCATTATACGTGAGTTTTTTCTGCCTGGCCCTGCTCAATTCCCATGATGTAGCTTGAACGTAGAGGATGAGAGCGGTGCCAGCTTGTTCCCTCGGCTCAGCTCTGGTTTAACAGCCAAATAATGAGCATTTTTGTTGTTTGAGCTTCCTGAGACACACAGCAGGTGGAGTGCAGCCGGTGACAGTGCTGTTCACCTCTACTGGTATTAACCAAATCCAGAGCAAAGCAGGAAATAAAGATCATTTGATACGTAAGTACCTTGTTGCTTGCCACTCGCCCTTGTGCTGGGAATAGTTGTGTGAGCAGGTTACAGGTGCTAAAAAACGCAGGATGCGCTTTAAGTAGCCACAGAGCCAGGCGGGTGCCCAGCCTGCAGCCCAGGGCAGGCATAAAAATCAAAATATATATATCTTCTACAAATATAGCTCTGCCTGTAGAGGAGAAATGGACTCCAGCAGCTCGGAGAGCAGCAGCGAGAGGGATGGGGGACAGGCACACAGGTAACCCCCCAAGAAAGGAGCCCTCCTGGGTGCAGGGGACACGCAGCCTTGGCACCCGGGCTGGCTTTATACCAGGGGAAAGCTGCTGGGGACAGGGCAAGGGCTGCCAGGGTCAGGGGCATCCCCCAGCAGTTTGGACCAGCCCTGGCTGCAGCAAGAGTCTTTGCTTACACGAAACAAAAGGAGACATGAAAGAAAACAAGAGGCGGGGATCAAAAATGGTGTGATGATGGGAAGGGGCTGGGGAAGCTGCGTCACCCGAGGGGGCAGGGGGAAGATGAGCTGGAACTTGGTGTGGCTCGCTTGGGCAAGAGACTTTTGGGGTTGATGAGGGAGAGGAAAAGCCCCCAAAGTCCTTCCAGGAGCAAGCGGGTGTCTGAGCAGGGTGCACTTGAGAAGCCCGGCTCTCTCAAAGGCCGCATGCATTATTCACCTGTCCTCGTGTGATATGCATGAGGAGGTGAGAAAATCCGCTGCTCGGGCCCTCTGCACCCGCCGATAAAAGAGACAAGCCCTGAGCCATGTAAAACAGCCCGAGGAGAGGTGAAGACGTGGGGTTGCGAGGGCAGAGCAGTCGGGAGGTGGAGTCCCTGCCGTGCCCGGCTCTTACGGCCCGTGTCAAGCAGAGTCTTGTAACAGGGAGGGCGTGGGGTGGATGGGGCAGGCTGAGGGACCTGTGAAGGGTGCAGGGGTTTTGGGGTGGGGTGCAGGACCCATGGAAGGTGCAGGGATTTTGGGTTAGGGTGCAGGACCTGTGAAGGATGCAGGGTTTTGGGGTGGGGTGCAGGACCTGTGAAGGGTGCAGAGATTTTGGGGTGGGGTGCAGGACCTGTGAAGGGTGCAGAGATTTTGGGGTGGGGTGCAGGACCTGTGAAGGGTGCAGAGATTTTGGGGTGGGGTGCAGGACCTGTGAAGGGTGCAGAGATTTTGGGGTGGGGTGCAGGCCCCATGGAGGATGCATAGTACATAGGGCAGGGTTCAGGACCCGTGAAAGGTGCAGGGTTTTGGGGTGAGATGCAGGACCTGTGAAGGGTGCAGGGTTTTGGGGTGAGATGCAGGACCTGTGAAGGGTGCAGGGTTTTGGGGTGGGGTGCAGGACCTGTGAAGGGTGCAGGGTTTTGGGGTGGGGTGCAGGGCCCATGAAGGATGCAGAGTACATAGGGAAGGGTGCAGGACCCATGAAGGGTGCAGGGGTTTGGGGTGGGGTGCAGGACCCATGAAGGGTGCAGGGGTTTGGGGTGGGGTGCAGGACCTGTGAAGGGTGCAGGGTTTTGGTGTAGGATGCAGGACCCATGAATGGTGCAGGGATTTTGGGGCAGGATGCAGGCCCCATGAAGGGTGCAGGGTCCATAGGGCAGGGTGCAGGCCCCATGAAGGGTGCAGGGTTTTGGGGTGGGATGCAGGACCCGTGAAGGGTGCAGGGTCCATAGGGCAGGGTATGGGGCCCCGGGGTGCAGGTCTGGCTGTGCTCAGCCCCTACCCGCTGCCAGCCGTGTCCCGGCTGCCGAGGGTCCCTGTGCTGCAGCTGCCCCCAGATCCTGTTTGCTTCTGCCTGGCCCAGTAGCATCACAAATGCCATCACTTGGCAACAGTGGGAGCCCAGCACCACCCCTGGATCCCCCTGCACCACCCCTGGATCCCCCTGCACCACCCCTGGATCCCCCTGCACCACCCCCGGATCCCCCAGCACCACCCCCGGATCCCCCAGCACCACCCCTGGATCCCCCCTGCACCACCCCTGGATCCCTCAGCACCACCCCCGATCCCCCTGCACCACCCCCGGATCCCCCAGCACCACCCCCGGATCCCCCAGCACCACCCCCGGATCCCCCTGCACCACCCCCGGATCCCCCAGCACCACCCCCGGATCCCCCAGCACCACCCCTGGATCCCCCTGCACCACCCCTGGATCCCCCAGCACCACCCCCGGATCCCCCAGCACCACCCCTGGATCCCCCTGCACCACCCCCGGATCCCCCAGCACCACCCCTGGATCCCCCTGCACCACCCCCGGATCCCCCAGCACCACCCCCGGATCCCCCTGCACCACCCCCGGATCCCCCAGCACCACCCCCGGATCCCCCTGCACCACCCCCGGATCCCCCTGCACCACCCCCGGATCCCCCTGCACCACCCCCAGCACCCTGGGATCCCCTGCACATCCCAGCACCCGCTCTCGAACATCCTCTGCACCCCCTGCCTGCACCCAGGCAGCCATCACCCACCCCAGCCTGCCCCCCACCCCAACAACCCCCACACCCCCTGCCCTCGACCCGCCTGCTTCCAGGGATCCAGAAATATCCCCACGTTTGCATTTTTTTAGGCTTTTTTGTTTGTCTGTTTGTTTTCCCCAGCTCCTTATGAAAGGGGAATAGTGGGCTCCGCTCCTGACCCAGGAGGGCAACCAGGGACCTGTCCTGGAACACCTTTGGGAAGGGTCAGTTGCCTATAAAGAACCAATGTAAAAAAAAATGCTTGCACGCAGAGATCTGCAGGTTCTATTAAAATAATCCTTGTAAAATGACCCTTGCTTGTAAAGAGCACTGGAAGGTGATGGGAATTGGAGGGGCTGTTCTTGATTTGCATCTAAGCTCTGAGATATTTCAAATAAATAAATAAATAAATAGAAGAAAAGAAGAAGAAAAGGAAAGAAAATAGAAATCCAGGGGCTTTCAGCAGCTGCCTCTTGCGAGGACATTGCTGTGCCAGCTCTGGAAAAGGGCTCCCAGCCACCTTCTCTCCCAGCAGAGGTGGCTGTCGGCCTCACTGGGTCATGCAGCCTCGAGTTTCAGCATTTCCAAACCCCTCGTGGCCTTGAGTTCCTCGAGGACGGATCTGCCGCGGGGTCCGACGGGCTGTGCTGGGGCGAGCTGAGCATCCCCGGGAGCCTGAGCCCAGTGCCCGAGCTGGCCAGGCTCCTGCTGCCGTCTTCTCTAGTTCCCAGTGAGATGTGGGTTCAGCCACCGTGGGACGGGGGGAGAAGCTGGGAGGGGTGGGATCCATCGCACGGGAATTTGCTCCGGGCTCAGTAGACCCCACGCAGGAACCCACCATGTGTCCTTACAGCTGGATTCTCTCTGCGGATGAGGAAATCTCGGTTTGCTAATTATGCTGAATAAAAGAGAATGGGGAAACTTCCATATCAGAATTTAAAATAATAACAATTAAAAAAAAAAAATAAAAATTCCAGTCATTGAGAGCTGCTGCATTGCTGCAGCTGCTGAGCAGTAAGTGCAGCTCTGGCATTTAAGAAGGAGTGAGAAGGTTGTCTGGCTCGCTGCAGGCTCACGATCACGGCTTTCCAACCTGTCTCAGAGGATACAGTAGAAAGATAAGAAAGTAAACGGAAAATGATGCAAAAGGCCAAACGGATTTACCTAAAGTCCATTCTGCTAGGCTGACTAGGTTCCTTGCTTTGAAAATTTCTGATTTTCTGGCTGGGGAAGGGGACTGGACAGAAGGAGCAGGAAGATAATCGCGAGCAGGGCGAGGCTGCAAAGTAGCCGAAGGCCACCAGACCTGTGTGGGTCACCAGTGGCTTTCCAGCAGTGGTCCCAGAGGCAGAAACTTCTCAGGGTTTTTAATGGAGCTTGCTTTTGGGAGGAGCATTGTGCCAGGGTGCTTGGAGGGGCTGCCGCAGAGCTACTGAAGGTTTGGGTTCCCCAGTGTCCTCTTTACCTGCCTAGAAACGATGCTTTTGGGTGGGCTGCCAGGGGACCCAACTCCAGGTGTCTCCTCTGCAGATCTGAGGGCTAGGACAGAGCCTGGGACTCTCCATGCAGGGACAGACCAGCTCAATCCTGCCAGAAAACCCCAGGCAGAAGTTCCAGCTTCTCTGGAAATGAGGGAGGGTCCTGTCACCGCTCCAGGGGGAAGACATCACTCCAGGAAACAGCCTCACGTTGCGCCAGGGGAGGTTTATGTTGGATATTAGGAAAAATTTCTTCATTAAAAGGGTTGTCAAGCGCTGGCCCAGGCTGCCCAGGGCGGTGGTGGAG